TCAGTGATTTTAAAGATAGAGTTACTTTACTATCCTGCTTGGCAAATATTCTTAAATCATTCTATAGATGGTAATTAATTTACACATTACCTAATCACTTTCCATTGTGAGGCAAAATATTGTTTTGAATTTATGATACTAGAAACTGTGAACAAAGTTGCTATGCTGTTGTCATAATAAATTTGACTTTTTGTACAAAAAATGAATGTTCTGTAGTAAAGTTTCTGGTCCTTAAGCTTTGGCTAAACACCTGATCGTTTCCTAAATTAAAACTCTGAATATTTTGAGACTTTTGACATTTTACCAAATTATTCTCTAAAATGTTCATATCAACTTTTATTTCATCCAAGTATTTTTTTATCAGTTAGTAGTTGTAAGCTCTGCGAGGAAATGGCTATATCTGGGTTTTGTTTTTCTTTTTAAGTAACTTTTCAAGTAAATATTTTTGAGTAAGTTAGAATATTGTGTTTAATGGCTACGATTTGTGGTATTCCAAGTACTTTTCTTTTTTCTCCTCCTTTTTTTTAATACGCTGCTTGTGCATATGCATGTTTCTGCTTAAAAATAGCCTCTTTTCACTGCTTCACCATTGTGAAGGACAAGGTACACAGTGAGAGTGTGATTGTTCTACAAAGAATATCACAAGCTGAAATTTGTTTTTTTACTTTTGACTCTAGGCTTTTCCAACACACAGTTTTGTTTTATTTCTTCATTTAATTTGTTTATATGGTGAATTACCTGAAATAATTTTCAAATGTTAAATTAACATTCTTGAATTAAATTGGTCATGATATGAAGGTCATGATATAAATTCATATTTTGTTTTTTATCTGTGTTTGTGTTCAGAGTCTAGGTAAGTTACAGATTTTCCTCTTTTATACTGTCAGTGGGTTTTTAATGTCAAGGTTTTGATAGCCCCATAAAATGACTTGGAGAGAATTTCTTCTTTTTCTGTTTTTGGCAGACTTTATATAAGATTGAAATTACCAGTTTGGTAAAATTCATTGGTAAAACTACCTGGATATGGTGTTTTGTAAGTTGGAAGAATTTTTAACTGCCAATTTCAGCCTATTTAAGATGATTCAGGCTTTCTATTTCTTCTGGAATCAGTTTCAATAATTTCCACTTTTCTAGGGATTTTTCCATTTCATCTGTATTTTCAGAATTTTCATAGAATTTGTTCAGAATATACCTTTTATGTTTGCTACACTATTATCTGGTCTTACTCATCTTTCTTTTACTATGTCCAGTTTCCTATTTATCTAATCAATTAAATTTCTGATAGCAAGTGTTATGTTTTTTCCTTTCTGGATATACTGTTTGGTTTATTTTCAAATCTGCCTGTAAGTTTTAAAAGTCTCTTGTAGCCTAGGCCTACTCTTGCTATTTCTTTTATTTCTTTATACTTACTATATATTCTTCCCAGTGAAAATTTCTCCAGGTTTGCAGGTTTTGTTGTGTATGTTGTTTCTGTTGACTTGCTCACATATTGGGTGATTTTATGATGGCAAGCTCATGTTCTCCTTGGGATTTTGGGAGGGTTCTTCAAGGCCTGGTTGAAAATATGTTCCTGAAGTTAGGACTGTTAGTGAGGCCCCCATAAATAGTGTGGAAATTCCAACCCCAAACACAACTGTGCCTGTGATCAGGAATTCTCAGGAGTGCCTTTCCCCTGACCCTCCATGCCACATTCTGAGCTGAGGCTGAGATAGGCAAGTAGCTTCATTCACCATCTGCCTCTAAAAGGTAGATTTTTTTTTCTCCAATTCATTTACTATGGGAGAGTGGTATGGAGGAAGAAGGATCTCAGGAGTGTGTGATCCAGCGTGCTATTTTGCAGGGCCACAGGCTTGTCTGCTGGCCCTCAGCCTTTTACAAGTTTAAAGCACAAGCTTAAGTCTAGACCTTCCAGGATGGGCAGAGGCTTTAGGGAAAATTCACTCTTCAGCCCTGGTTTACCAAGAGGCTTCAGGAATTTTTTCTACCTCAGAAGATTTGGTTATTCTCCTGATAGCTCAGTTATGTGTTTAAAAGGTTGTTTTTAAATATTTATTCAGGGCCCGATGCTTATGCCCATAATCCTCGCATTTTGATAGGCCAATGTGGGTGGATCCCTTAAGCTCAGGATTTTAAGACCAGCCTGGGCAACATGGCAAAACCCAGTATACTAAAAATACAAGAATCAGATGGGCATGGTGGTGGGCACATGTAGTCCCAGCTACTTGGGAGGCTGAGATGGGAGGATCACTTGTGCACATGAGGTGGAGGCTGCAGTGACCTGAGATTGTGCCACTACATTGAAGCCTAGGCAAAAGAGTAAGAGACTGTCTCAAAAAAAAAAAAAATCAGTAATTTTAGTGTTCTATACTGAGAGGGCTTCCTCTGACATCAGGCTGTGATACTGGAAAAAATGAGAGTTAAATCTTTTCTTTCTCCTTTCCTTCCTTCCTTCCTTCTTTTCTTTTCTTTCCCTTCCTAAAAGAGAAATGGGAGTTGTAAATCTTATATGGTAACTTTTTTAAAGCTACATATATAGGTCAACCTCAATTTTTGAGATCACAGTCAAAAGAAAGGATGTAAGTGAAAAAGTAGCAGTGACTAACATTTTGGGTGAATCCTTAATAATGTATGGGGCTCTATACCAAGTGTTTTATTAGGAAGAAATCCACCGTCATGATTCTGTCATTCCCATTGTAAAGATGAGGACACTGAAAACTTGGAGAGGTTCAAATGACTTTCCCAAGTTCACACAATTAACAGGTATTCATTGTGTGAATTCATAATGTTTATCTTGGGTCATCAAGAAAAGAAATAATGCTAGATGGAATCTGTTTATATTTGGTGCATTATTATTTTAAAAGGCAGCAAAATGTGTAACGTATCTTAAATTTCCATCTAATTTGTGGTATGATAGATAAGTGTGGTCGTATCATATTAAACAGATACGTGTGTCAAAGGAATGCAGAAGCCAGTTTACCTTGCCCCTTTACTACTTTGTCTCCTGTAAGAAAAAATACTCTTAAAATACTTTCCAAGGATTTTTCTGGATGTCATATCCCAAAACACATTTGTCAGCCTGGATGAAGAGAAACTTTGGCCAAGGACTTTAAAGATTCATTACTAGACATGGATCCCCTTTGTTTCCTAATTCATCTGAAACTACTCTCCCACTTCAGTCAACTGTGTGGTATTTGGTTATAGTGTTAATAGATACTTCTCCCTATGCAAGTGGTTTTTTAATATAATTTATATGTGTGTGTGTGTGTGTGTGTGTGTGTATATATATATATATATATATATATATATATATACCTGTATATATAATGTACATATATATACGTATACACACACACATTTGAAGCATAATGTTATAAAACAAACTTGGAAAATGTAACTTTCACAGTACAGTCATTTTTTTTGGTGATACTTGAAGTACAGTTTTCTCAGGGAATGTTTTCAGTGAACCCTCTTTTTCTTGTGTGATACTCTTTTGAGATTGCCAGTTTGGGGATAGATTGTGAAACTACAGTGTCTGTGTGTTTTTCTCAAGCAAGTTCTCATTCTCCTAAAGTAACCAGATCCATCCATCAGTCCAGGAAAATCAGGAAAAAAATTGCTAGGAAGACACTTTTGTCCCAAATTCAAAAGTAGGCAGTTTCCCTGGTGATTTAACTTCCTCTCTGCCATGCTAGAGGAACCTTGTGCTGTTACCTCCAGAGTCTCCACTAGCATCTTTATTATCATCTGTGCTTGCAGGTACTGATACTTCTAAGGCCAGCCACTGAAAAAGAGCATGGGTCACCACGACTTGGGAACTTAACCCACCCCTCTTGTTATTAATACTTACATCCCTACGCTAGGGCCTTTTTGCCCTTTCTAAGCACGTGGGAAGAAGAAGAAAGTGGGAACTCTCTTAATTCACTTCTGTGAATTAATCTGTTACCAGAACACCAGGGGATGGATCTAGGTCCTGATACTCACTGCACAGGAGGCCAGTCATTGAGATGAGCATTACCAGGGAAGAGGCTTCATTTGAGTGTTGCAGCTGATGGGAGATCAGTCTCAAATCCAACTCTCTGACCAGTTAAAATCAGGGGCTTATATATATAGCAGGGAAGGAATGTAACTACATGTAGGTAAACAGGAATTAGGGAGAAGTGAAGAAATCATGAGAGATGAGAGGGTCTGGCTTCTCTCTGTCTGGATGTGGTGATGTGGTGAATTTCACTTCCTTTGAAGTTTAAACTATCCAGGAGGCCTGAGGAAGGAACTCAGTAAGACAAACCTAAGTTTTAAGACCAGGAGAGCCAATTTCTATGTTTATTTTAAATGACTGTAAATATTAGTTCTATGGAACAGTTGGGCTAGTTTCAAATCGATATCAACAAGGGAGATAGTACACTAGTATATATCTCCATAATTCATCCTGTTACACCAAATTCTATTTTCCATGGTACTTTAATTATTTAAGCTACTAGGAACCTGTTCTGGAAATGCTTTGTTTTGCTTTTTCAACTTTTTCATTGAGTAAAACTCAAATATGTTTCTTAATACCTGATACCATCATTTTCTCATTTGTAAAATGACTTTAGAAACATTGTACCTTTATGATAAGTCATACATATGAGGAGCATGAAAAGCTCAGACTGGTGAAGGGTTCACATGACAATAAGATTCAGGAAATGAAAGGTTTTATGTTTACCCTTTACCTTATTTCCATGGTAGAAGGGTAAATGAACATTGTTCTTTTCAAAATTAGAAGACAACTTGAAGATAAATATAAAGCTATTCCCCAGAACTAGAAAGAGAATTCCCCTGTATCCATTTCAATTGTATTACCAGAAAGTGCGGGAGTCCTTGGTTCTTGTCTTACTTGGAGAAAGAATTAGGCCAAGAGACAAATTTAGCAAAGAAAGCATAAAATTTATTGAAGGAAAACAAAGAGCAGGGAGTTTGTTGAAGGAAAACGAAGAGCAGAGAGTTTATCGAAGGAAGTACAGTTAAGAGAGGAGCAGGCTGTTAAGGCTGGAAAACAGCCACAGTAGCAGCAAAGGTTAAAGCAGTGGCAGAGTTTAGAGACAGTACACTCTGAAAGGAAAGGCATAGTGGGCTGCTGGAAAGAGAATGAGCCAACAGCCCTGAGAGTTCTGCGTTAAGGTTTTCCTTTTAAGTTCCCGCCTCTGTCTTAACTCTCTACCTTTGTCTTTGTCTAGTTTCCCTCTTCTGCCTTAAGTCTCTGCCTTTCTCCCACCTAGTTCTCATTCCAGGTATGTGGTGTTCTCCCTCAGTGTCAGTTGATACACAGATACAGGCTCACTGTTGGAAGTAGCTCCTTCCTAATGATGGTGCTGCTCATTACAGTCACCCCAGGAAGGTCTTACAGTGGTTAAATACGTACTTACTGCACCTGTGTACCTCTTAGGAATTTCACTTTTGCCCTCTTTCCTTCATCAGCTACTTTCTGATAGCTTAACTGCAGAGTGAACAGTTACTGAGCATCTATCTCAAGAGACGTTCCAGGGTGTTCCTTCCTGCTTACGTATTTTCCTTCCTCTCTGCTCATATCTAGCATGCATGTTTCGGATCGTCTCTGAGCTGTAAGATTTTCCAGACCTCTTTTTCCCAGGGGCTCCCCCTTCCGGTTCATATCTAGCTATCTGCATGTCCTAGCATTTATGGTAGTCTTCCCTTCCTTCCTTTCTCCTTTCTTCCCTCCCTTCTTTCTTCCCAGTCGAGCTCCTGTAATTTCTCAGGAGAGTGGATATGCATTTCCTTATTAGAATTTACATCTTTATTTCAATGCTGGGAATATAAGTTGGGAAGTAGTTCTCATTTTGAACTGTCATTTTTTTCCGCATTCTTTAGAAAAGGAAGATAAAGCAGGATTTGGAGGCAGAACCTTAGCATTTCCCTTGTTCTCTAAGTGCTCCCAGGCCTTCTCCCTCTCTAAAATTGTCAGTGTTCATTTTTAGACGCATTAGGAGAAAGTGGCTTTCAGTAACCATTGTCTGACTTCTTAGTGCAGGAACCTGGGTGGATTAATTGAAACATTCTAAAACTAAATAAAGTTGGCATCAGGGGGTCCAGCTGAGCACATACAGGTGTTACATGCAAGTCCCCCTAATTAGTTGCCATATCAGGAAGTGATTGTGTCTTCAGCTGACTTTGTTTAAACATGAGATGGTCCTTAGTACTGGAGATAGAGCCCATTTGTATTTGTTTTTCCTGTTTGAGAGTTACCCTTGAAAGGTATGTCGGTATTATTTGTCTACAATAATTTTCTTGTAACCATATTGTTAAATCTTTGTCAGATTTTTATCTTCTCCTTCCAGTCAGCAACAAAATATTTATTTACTTCACTACTCACATATCTCAAGTTCAACTCAATGTTTCATTTATCGAAGTGAAATAAAATGGCTACGTAATTTACCAGTTATTCATGTATTCTGATTGTGCCAGCCTTCAGTGTGAACCTCTGGAAACTAAATAAGATGTGTGAACTATAGTCCTCTGTGTTATTTTACAGTTGCTATAGTAGTAGTAGTTAAGATGTATTAATGTAAGAAGTAGAATATTATTACATACCTAGATGTCAGTAATGTCTAAATACTTTATGAGCCTTGCTATATTTAATAATTGAAAATGACATTATAGTGGATATTTTAATACAGATTTACAGAATCTGAGAAAGGGCTGGACTTGGGCAGGACTGGAATATGGGCCTACAAATTGTACAGGTCTGGTATGAAATCGCAACCCTTCTACATGCTGGCCAGGTATGAAATTGCAACCCTTTCACACACTGGCCAGGAAACCTCAGGGAAGATGTCTTCATCTATATAGTAAGAGTATTACTTATTTTATGGGTATTGTAATGATAAAATCAGTGAATGTACAAGAAGTCCTTGGAATATAATAAATACTAAATAAATGATTATGACTTCTGTCCCTATGACTATGCCATTTCTAATTCTAAACATCTGCTTCAATGACTGTTAGAGGCCAGGCTCCTATTCCTCAGCCCAGTGCTCTGTTGAACTCTTGTTCAACAAGCTGTGTCATATACCTAATACTAGGTATTATAAAAGATATCAAAGAAGACAGTCAGATCAACACTGATATTTTCATCACTTCCTGCTCTGCCTGTTGTCACTAGCATGACTAACAGCTGCTCAAGTGTCTGTCTCAGTTTCCAGTGAGATCATAAGTGCCTGTTAAAGAGAATTATTATCTTACACTTTTATAAGGTAACTCACAATACCTGGAACATTGCTGAGTGTAAGCCCAGCTGTTCAATAAGAGAATATCTTTAAAAATTATTATTCAAAGAGAGCATTTTGACAAGAAGAAATGGTTGCACCTGTGTTGGGTGGGAGAGGTAGAATTGGACCAGCTGATCTGTCACTACCCCTCCCACCCTAGGTTCTACCACCCTTCAGAAACACATTCAGTGAGGTGGGTAAAAGCTAAAGAAGACACATCAAAACTAACATACAAAACTGGTTTGTAAAACTGGGGTGGTCATTTTCAGTACTGTACTTATCTGTGAGGTCATATATTTAATATTTATACTTGAATTTTGTACAGACTCATACAGTCCCAGTCTGTGATTCTGATGTTTATAATCAAATCTGTAAGAGTAATTGCTTGCCAAAATATTCCTGCTAGCTGCTGCTAATGTTACAACTATTTTTTCTGTGATCTCCTGTAATCTACTTTTGCCATATTATAGCTCAAGGTTAATGCAACACAAACAACATTATTTAGACTGTCTTAGGGGCTTGAAACTCTAATTTTGGGTGAGAATGACCAAATATATTGCTTCCTAAGCTTTATTGCTTTTTGCTAGATCTCATTTTTTCCTATCCGAAGTTATCAAACATTCTGTAAAACTTAAAACTTTTTGCTTCTAAAAATAGGCCCTCAACTCTTTATTGTCTGAAGAAAAAATGGAAAGGAAAGCATTGATAGGTTATAAAAGAGAAAAAGGTGGGCAGTCCACTCAGGGTTTCGGGTACAACTATAGCAACACTCAGGCCTTTGGGATGTTGAGAAGCCAGGGAAATGGAAAAAATAATTTCCATTTTCCTCTCATGATGAGAGAGGATGGACATAGGTACTTTTTTCTAAGGAGCTTCAGTTCTTGGTCCTTAATTTCTTACCACCAGCATGCATTCACAAAGATGTTCGGAAGCAAGAGGTATCATCTTGATTGCTAAATGGGGAAGTAATAGGACAGCAGTAGATAGGGGCTCTTGGCAGAATGCTGTAAATTATTTTTTTCAAAAATGAGTGTGGAGATCACAGCTTTGTTGATATTGTATAGGATGTCGTCAGACAGTGATATCAGTCCTCCTACTCCTGGCAGCAGAAGGCTTTCCTCCAGCAAATGGAGCAGAACACTAATTTGGAAAGCAGGGAGAAAGTAAAGCTGCCCTGCTTGCCCAAGGTGCCACTGCGGAGTCCACTTTGCCAGCCAACTTCTCCCTACCCCATGTCGCCTGTGTCTGCACTAGACACATTCCCACCTTCAGCACCTTGGAAACCACTAGCCTAATTGCTCTAGTCTGTACCCAGTCCACTGTGTCTCACCTGGTTTTGCTTACTGACACCCTTGAAAATCTGGTAAAAGCTTTGGGTCCTATTCCTTTAAAAAAAAAAACCCACATCTGCTTGAAATTTTGCTTGCTGTTTCAGAGCATTCATGGACTGTTCCACCATCACCACAGGCACATAAATTTCTGAGACCTAAGCCCTTTCTAAAAACCAAACTGCATATTTTCACACTAAACAAAATAACAATAAACAAAAACAAAATGTAACTCTAACCACCTAAACACACTGTACTTTCATCATTTTAAATTAGTTTTGGACAAAACTGAAAGAAACCTAGGTTCTGGTTTTAGCTCTGCAGCTAGTAGCTAGATTGCCTTCAGCAAGTCATACCAGACATCTTTGGACCTCAGTGTGTCTGTCTGTAAACTCCAGTGTTCTGTATTCAGCTGTAGTCTTCTGTAATTCTGTGAGCCGAAGTGAGGTCCCATGAAGACAGTACTCCTATGACTGAGCATATGCTGTTTGCATCCATTCATTCATTTTTAGCTTAAGAGGGAATGGCCTTTCCATTCACTCAGGCTAGATGTGAATGTTATAGTTGATAAGTGGGGCAATATTGACATGCTTATATGTAAAAAAACACTTTCTGCTATTCAGTTTGAATCATTAAGTTCTGGGTTCATTTTGTTTTGTTTTGATCCAGCTATCGAGTCCTCTTATATTTCTATCACCTCCATCCCCAAGCAAAAAGTAAACTGGTTTGTCACTTTCCCTTCCCTTGACTCATTTAAAGTAATTCACTAACCCTGAGTTGAGCTAAGTAAAGTTTCTAAATAAGTTTGGATGATAGAGGAAAAGATAATGGTGACAGATAAGGCCCAGTGAATGGGGTGCTAATGTAAAGGGGCATCTATGGAGATAATGGGTCCTTAGGTGAATGAAGCAGGAGCACAACTCAAGAGAGAAGAGGGGTCAGTTAGGACATGTGATACACTTCTTTTACAACCTAGTTATCCTCAGCCTACTCAAAATTAACCCTGTCATTCTTTTTCTGAGAAAAAAGAATTCCTTGCTTGGCATAGTCATTTCTCCCAGACTGTAAAACCCAGCCATGATAATGATGCTACTAAAATTATAATTTATTGAACATCAACTTTGCAGCAGGTACAGTGATAGAAACTTTGTGGATTTTAATTCACTTAATTATTATAACCACCCTTTGGTACATGTGCAACCTCTTCTGTTTTTCACGTGAGGAAACTGAGGCTCAGAGAAGCTAAGTCAAAGCCATATAGGCCTCACACCACAGAGCAAGAATCTAAGCACAAGTTATTTGATTCTAAAGCCTCTTTTTCCCCACTAGACTGCATAGCCACTGGGCTTTCACTTAATAATTAGTGAAATAGTCCTGTAAAACTGTGTCCACCTTAGTGAATCTGCCTGCAGTAGGGTTATTGTTACTGTGGCTCCTCATCTTTTGCAGGTAAATACAATTTATGAGATAATTTTTGAGGAGAGTGGCATGCCTAGAATACAGAATAACCACTGACAAGGTTCTCAGGATTTTAAAAAAAGGTTGTTTGTTGTTTTATTTTGGTTTGCTTTAATTCGTCACTCTGCCTGGCACATTGGAGGAACCCAGTGAATACGTGGATGTATGAGTGAATGAAAGGCAGTTCATTCTACAAGATTTAAATGAACTCGTTTGCAATAGCAAATACAGAAAGCAAAATGTTAGAATTATACACTGGTATGACTTTATTTCTACATTTCAGGAACAAAATATCATAACTTTACACATAACTCTTTGAAGCTCTTGCTAGGTTTTTTATACTCTGCTTCCAAAATCCTTTTGTGCAGTTACAAGTACACTATTACGCCACTTTCATTGGAAAAAAGACTAATTTTACATTGTAATAATTGTACCTGTTCTGTGACAAAGCCTTGATTAAAAAAAAAATTCCAATTTAATAGCTCAAAGAAAGAAGAATGTCTCTAGGAGAACTGGGACACAATTTTACAGTTTACTGATTGTAAAATTGTCCTTCAGTGCTAAAATGGAAAAAAAAAAGGATGAATGTGGAAGAAAAAAGAATAGAATAACTGACTAAGCTCGAAGGTCATTAATGACACTAAGAGGAGTAAAAATGATAAAGTGAACATAGAAAATCATATTCTGTGAAAAATGAAATAGAATTGCTCTTAGCAAGAAAAAAAGCGGGGGGAAAGCATGGAAGAAATCTTTTCAGTACATTTGACGGAAGGGAAGAAGGACTGTGTACCCAAATAAGTAGCTCTGTGTTGGAGCCAAAGAGTGGGTTCTAACCCTTAGCAAAACTTCAGAGCAAACTTCTTAAAAATGTAGGTCAATAGGAGCTTATAGTTAGGAGAGAAGCCTGGTTTCCTGGAGACACGTTTTCTGTTCCACAGGAAGAAAGTCCAGTGTCGGTCAGTCTGTGAATCCTAATGCCCGATTCTAAGGAGGTGCAGCATTAATTGGAGCAGCTGCTAGCACGGGAAGAGTGTCGAGCCTTTCCAACTGACGACAAGAGAAAGTTTTAAGCAGGGTAGATATCAACTCCCGTGACTTTTCCTGAGATTATAAAATTACCAGTGTAAATGTCGTGGTCCCTATTTCTGATCCTATACATCCCCTTTTTTCTACCCCCTCGTCTTCACTGGGGAAAGCCATTCATTATTTAGAAGGCGGCAGCACTAGTGAATGCACAAAACTCAGATTGTTTTTGCAAGAGCCGACCATTGTGTTTAAATGAAAGTCTCAAAAGAGATCAAATCTGTCTCATTTATGGCACATGTGCTAAGTTTAAAAGGTTGCTATGGGAAACTTTCAGCTAACCTTTAGCCTCTGTGACTATATATTGCCTAGCTCAGACTTGTGAGAAATGTTTTAAGTTATGATAAATTCTATTTTCATGTAATTAGAAAAACAAAAACCAGTTATTGTCTCAAATGTTTGAGTCCTTGCTATTCCGCTTAGAAGCAGTATATTGGTAACGAAGCTTTTTCCTGTATACCCAAATTGAGGCTTTGCATTTCAAAGCCTCAATTCTGGTCTTTTACCATGTAGGAAGACGATTGGAGAGTACAAAATGAACTGATGATCAAGTCTTACATTAAGGTAATAAATGAAAAGACTGTGTCACAAAATCTATTCATGTCCACCCTAGTTTTTTCGCCAAAATGTTCTTGCTGTGACCTACTTCTGCAGATAAGAAAAATGATTTTGCCATCCTTCTATGACATTATGGCTATAGTGAACTGTTCCCAAGTGTCTTGGTGTAGGTGGCCTTGTGAGGATAAGCATTAATTATTTTCAGACTGCTGATGCATCACCTCTGGGGTGTCTATATTTGT